TGGGTTTAGGTAATCAATTATGTTATAAGTGATAAATAAATTTAGGTTTGTCCTTTTTACCTAATAATTAACATATATACTGTAATTTGTTATTTTATAGTTAAACATAAAGAAAATTTTTAATATTTTAGGGGGGGCATGGAGGCTCAGGCCCTAACCCAACCCCCTGGTTCAAGGGTTTTATTCCTCATGGTATCTGTTTACACCTAAAATAAACCAATAGGGTAAGGCCACATGTCAAGGTAAAGCCCAATTATTAAAAAAATCAATGGGCTGGATTTGGGCTGGGCTGGCTTCCAATTTAACGGCCCAGACGAATTTCCAAGGAGGTTGGATCCTAGGTGGCAGAAGATAAAATGGAATCTGGTAGTTTGGGTTTGATTTAAAATGGAAATTGAGGATTTTTAGGTAGTTATCTTTAAGGTTGTTGGAGATAAGGTTAAATAAAATTGGATAACTGTCAAAGTAACTGCCAGACCTGCAATCCCACTACCAGATCATGGAGGAACAGTGCCGAAAATCGAGGAACAGTACCGGAGATCATGGAGGGAGGTTGACAGCACCGAAGCAAAGAAAAACCAGAAAGAGAGATCAGTTACAAGCCTGCCCAGCACACACACAGACTGCCCAGAGCATGTTTTTCAGCTTTCAGACTGCATTTTCCAGATTTCAGCATTAGTTTCCAGATTTTCCAGATTTCCCAAATTTCCCAGATTTTCCAGATTAGTTCATAGCCTTAGCCTAGGTTTGTTCATCGTATTTTCTTCTGCAAATTCCAATTTAGATTAGTTTTTAAACATTTGGAAGCAACTTAGCCCTCAAAACAGGTCTGCCCTTTTGATCCGGTTAGTTCTTCTTCCTTTTATGGATTTAGTTATGTTATTTGTTCATGTAAAGAGGATGAACAATTTCTACCTTTGTTCTTTTGTTTCTGCATAATATCCAGACATGCAATTTGTTTCATTTCAATTTCCAGATTTAAATTTATAAGTTTCCAGACTTTAATCATTTCATAGTTTCTTCTTCAATTTTAGTTGTCATTATGGGCTGCGTAGTTGAAATCATTATCTGTTATTTTACTTATTCTGTTGTCTGCGAATTTAATCTTTATGGCATGTTATTTTCTGTTAATTACTTCATATTAGTTTAATTGCTTTAGGATATTGCATTTATTTTA